CAGCGTGTGTCCCCGGGGAGTGGGGGGAAGCCCGTCACCTTAGGAAACTAGTATGCTACAAAATGCCAAAACGATATTTGGGTTCAAATTCGATCATCTTAAGAAGCAAGGTGCGGCGGTGTGGATTGGGTTCAGTTGCCCTAAGATAGGCTCCAGAAGTGGAATCTTCTGAACACGGCAATGAACTTCAAGGTGCCATAAAATATTTTGACCAGTTTAGCGACTGTCAGGTTTCTGTGCTACAAGGGCTTGCCATTGGTCCTTATCCTCAGTTACATGAAGTAATACACACTATTTTGTCCAACTTCTTGATGATCTGCCCTAATATTTTACTCCCATCTACGCCAAGTTCCTACAACTTGTCTCTTTCCTCTCCAAAGGTTTTCGAACAAAAACTTTTCTTATCTTTCCCGTAAGTGATACAATCCATGATAATCTTCCTGCTCTTGAATTTCTAATCCTAATAATACTTAGTGGAATACAACTATTTTAGTTCAACTAGAACAACTAGTTCTTCATTGCGCGGTTTACTTCTGTTTCCTATAATTCCCCTTCCTATTTGAGACCAGTTATATCTCCATTACTCTCCCTGCTCAGACACACCCTCGGTCCAGGCGGTGTTCGTGCCTTAAAGTTAGAAGCCAAATTTCAGATCTGCGTGTAATTCCACAGTTGACTTCTAATCAAACCTGGAACTTCAAATTCAGTCAAATTTTACACTCAAGTCACAAATCTAATAAGCAGTTAGGAATTAAAGAACCACGTCTGGGATTGTTAGTACATTCAGTCCATACGCTACATGCATTTGACACCTATTTTCAACGAACCAAACAGATCCAGTTCATCAGTCCCCGTTTCCACAACATATGTTGGCATTGTGAATCGCTTTGGGCGCGTTCATATTCCTGCTGAGCGCTTATTAACATCGCTCCATCCGTCTGTCTGCGAACATGTTGCAACTCTCGAACTGATGAACAGGTTTTCACGGAATTTGATATTGCGTTATACTACTAAAATTTGTCGAAACATTTCAGTTTTGATTAAAATCGTACAAAAACAACTGATTCTTTCACACTCGTTTCTTCGCGTGTCTCGATCATATCTGATGGAGCGAAATACGTTCAAACAAGCGCGTAGAGAAGATGTCCTCAATTCTTAACGTTTTCGAGGCAATTAAACAAAAGAGACGTCATACCTATATTTTCGATCTCGGAAAATAAGGATTGCTGTCTCCTGGGACGTCATATCTTGTAAGTTTCAGAACAGAGAATGGATTCATTGCATTCGTCCGAAATGTCAAATGACTAGGCTACCATAAAACAAAACAAACTCCGTGGCTTCAGTCCGCAAGCGAAATATACTGACCGAGCGACCGCCGCTTGTCGGCGAAGTTAGTGCCAACTTTTGCGGATAGAGGGCGTAACGTGGTCAGCGCAACGGATCCCTATGGCTGTTAATTTTGGTTTTCTAGACCGGAGCCTCTATTTCCTTGAAATAGCTCCTCAATTATCCTCACGAGGTTGAGTGGACCCCATACCAGACTCACTACTTTTCAGAAAATCTGGTAGCGCCGGGAATCGAATCCGTACCTCTGGATCTGTAGCCAGGAACTCTGACCACTAGACCACAGATGCGGTCAACCTGCATCTTAGTTGGTATGTTTTATTGTTGTGATTTGTACAGTATTCGTCTTCATTTAATACAAGTATATCCTCATTGGTGACTTCAGAAGACGCGAGTTTCAATTCTTCATTGTTCGTACTATCCGCTCGGTCTAAATGACTGTCCTATCACCATCCTTCAGGATACAATAGCCTTTTCACTTCCGCTCGCTGCCACTCCTGCCCCTCCCTCACGATGCTAACAAATTTCCGCTGATATGGGTGTTGTGCCAAGTCTAGACTCGATACATCGCTGGTGTCTTATGCCACTGTCAACCTTTCTTGAAGTTCTTAAATATGCCGCGCGGCGTGCAAGAATTGCCTCGTGCTCAGCTAGAAGAAATTTTCTCTTCTTATATTTTTTTACATCGAAGAATCCTATCCCTTTCACGATTTTCTTGGGAGTTTATTTTCCTCACTTAAATTGAATTTCTTTTCTTTTTTTCAACAAAGTTTTGAAGTTTGTTTGGAGAAGGGATTTCTTTCTTTACCCCTTAATATTTTAAAACTTTCTCCATGCAACACACTTTTCTACATCGTTCATTGTTCTTTTTACTCTCGGACGTTTAATTGTTCGACGCTTTGCTTTCTCATGCTGATCACTATCATTATGAATATCTACTGACTGTTCTTTCACTCTTTCTCAACATTTTTTTTTTAATCTTGCAAGGTCTGTTGCAGATGAATAATATACTTCATGTATTTCCTTCTCTCAGAATTTCGATTCTTTCAGGCAATTACGGGAACTGAAGCACATAACAAGATAAAGTTACAGCGTTTCACTAGGATTGTGGGTTCGAATCTTGCTCTAATGTATTTTAGTCAATTACATATTCACATTCGGTTTCGTACAGTTACATACCTTGCGTTTAATTTTCTCTGTTAAAAAGTTGGTAGTTATTGTGGATACTTCCACGCGTAATACCTCGCCTTTCGACGGTATTAGAAATGGTTCGATGAAGACACGTTCCGTTTTGTAGGCCTACCGATCCCGTTGAGTGCCTTATCAACACTCCGTGGAGCGTCCTCAGGTTTCAGATGGAGGATATGGCCTCCAGCTATGCAAGGTAGCTGCGAATGTATTGGATAAGCTGGCATGGAAAGTCGACAGGGGTTTGGGCATGGGTCGAACGTATTCTCATCTAAAACGTAGGACATTAAGAACTGTTACTCTGGGCCTCAGTTGTAGTTCTTGTGAACATGGCAATGAATCTTTGGATTCTATAAGTGGGTGGGAATTTATTAGTTGAGCTATTTTTATGGGCTCAAGGAGAACTATGCTTCGTGTGTTTGTTAGTGAGTTACAGCATGATCTTTCCGTCTGAAATCAAGAACTGTGGAACCATTACAGTGTAGTGTGTAATGTGGTTTTTGATCCTATTAAGCTTGTGGACATTGCTGAAATCTTGTGTGTGCGTTGAAAATTTTATACATGACTACGCGAACATTAGATAATATGGTTGGAAATTTAGGGTTAATAATGGTAGCTATCCGTGTAACATGCCGTGGAGGCCCATAGGGTTGTGAGACGTTGAGGCTCCCACATTTTCTCTAGACAATAGGCTCACATGGCAGTGAGGTTGTCAGCCTTACTCACCGGCCGCCCTTTACCGCAGGAAGATTCCTGATACTCATTTCTGTTAGAGGCTGAGTCGACTCCAGGGCCATAGTGCGGCTGGAAAGATTAGACCAATTGAAAAAATCCACCTCATTGGTACTCGAACCTGCGACCTTCCGGCTTGTAGCATAGTGCCTCAACCAACTACGGTACCGCGTGCTCCCGGAAATTTAGGGTGGTAAGAATGTGGTGAGAATATAATATATCCAACACCATGAAGTACAGTCCTGTTTGAGTAGCTAATATTGGCTTAGCTACTTAAAATTCCTGATATTTCATGGGCCAGAAGGTCTGTTGAGCTTACAGCGTTAATACGAGCCAGCCGCTGGACCCGATGGCCAGCCACTCCAATGCAGCCTTCACCTTTCCTCCCTCTTTGTTTCATATCATTCTCATACTTATGTCTTCCTAGTGGTTCTAGCTCTCCACACTTGCATCCAAAATTTTAATTTCTTCAGTTCGTGCTCCCTAATCTGCCGGTGTCGTCTTCCTGCATTTGCTGAGGATGTATGCTAGCGTACAATTAAGGAAAATCTAAAGAATATCAGACGTTCTTTGATGAACGTGTCCTCATGAACGCAGTATGCAGACAGGAATCCCTGTCCGTGCCGTATATAAGATGCCAACGCGTTCTAAAAAACGATTTCACAAACGCTGTCTGTTCCTGTGGTCTATCAGAACAGTTCAGCACATTTTTGTAAACGCTTTAGTTGTGAATTATCTTGTGCGTACACTCTACTTACTATTAATCCAATGACTTGGTAAGTAAATCTACACCGTCACTGAAAATAAAAAAGAAACTACTTTTGTTCAGACTGGCATTGACTGTTATGAAAATCTGTTAAAGAGCAAAGGTCCGAATCCTTGCTACGCGGCAGTACTTTTAAACTCCTATTTCATATCTTGAAGGAGCAGTTACTTTTCTTGAAATGGCCGCGCCATAGCTCAAGCGGTTAGTCGCTGGCTTCCCACCACGGCGGCCCGGGTTCGATTGTGGGTCTGGTCAAGTGGGATTTGTGGTGGACAAAGTGGCGCTGGGACAGGTTTTCTCCGAGTACTTCGGTTTCCCCTGCCAATCTTCATTCCACCAATTGCTCCACAATCACCCTCACCTATCATCTGGGGCTGGTACAATAGGCCAGAAGTGGCCGCAGTACAAGGGACTTAGTCCCACCCCACTAACACTAATAAAAAAAGTAAATAAATACTTTTCTTGAAATGTGTAGCGTATGGCAGAAACATTGTTCAGTGATTTGCCATCGTCTATTTATTACCCACATAGAGTCGTTGTACAAGACAAGGTCCGCTGCTAAGTAGAGGCTTTTCCTGCTGATAGTATTGTAGCGTGTAGAGCCGTTACTATGCGACGACCGCGAGATAGACGAACATACCAGCGCCGTTTCTGGGCAAAAGCTAGGTAAACACGCTCCCGCAGCAACGAATCGACGCGCAACAATGGAGGTACTGTTAGAAACGGGGTGTTTTTTCGTGGTCCATGTCGAGGAGTTATAAGGAAGGCAATTGGGGCGAACTAGTCAGTTCTATATGGGAGTCTGTGAAGAAAGTAGTTGAGCACGTGAAGCTGAAGAAACTCCACTGTTAAATGCCTTTGTCAGTGAACGTTTGGTGAAAACACAGCAGGCTAAAGAAGTCTTGATGGGTGCTCTGGTGATTTGTGAATTGTGGACATTATGAATGGCGCTATAATTACTTGTACTTACCAACTATGTGTGTAAGTGGTCAATAATTCGGATCACCAATCCAGATCCCTCCTATAATCACTCACACACGTGACAGTGACGGCAGTGGTGGAGTACATGGTTCTGTCGCGGTGAAGCGGCAAATCTAAGTTGAAAGAACACACAGCAAGTACATTTGAGTTTCTACACGTGAGATTTTCGTTAATATTCTTATTGTTTGCTGTTGGTACTTCCCTTTATCACGCACCATAAAGTAATTTTAGGAAGGTTCCGTAACGGAGAAAGGCAGCTTGTACTAAATAAGGCCGATCTGTTTCTTCATAGTTAAGCAGTGCTAACTCTATACACAGTGCCCTCGCGGTCTAAGGCATGAAATGTCTTCGCCCTCTCGAACACTGGTATCGTGGGTTCGTATCCTACTCAAAGCATAGATGTCCGTGTTTATTATATGCTTATGTTAGGTAGCAGCCTTGCGACAGGCTGATCCCCTTGAAAGTAGTCCTACCGTCTGTCTTAGATTAAGAAACTGAAGTGAAATAAGTGTTTCACGGATGCCCTATGCTCCAAGTGGGAGCAACAGGAATAGAAGAAGAAGAAACTCTATACAAATATGATCGATTTTTTTGGGTGACGAAGTTCACAGAGTGGATTTGGTATTTGATGTTACTAGGTTTTGTTATTTTTATTTTTTCCTTGGAGAATAATAGCTGAACAGAAGAACAGATGAGCTCATTGCACCTCAGAAAACTGAAAGATTTGGTTTCAACTGGCGAAAGAAATGTCTGCACGGATAACATCGAGAAAATATCTCATGCAATACTTCAGTCAGCAGTTTTCAAAAAGTGTTCACTACCTCAGAATTATTTAAGAAAACAAATAGATTCCTCCATGACGTCGAACAATAATTTGAGAAGCCGCGGTGGTAGTTAAAACTGTATTTGATGGAAGTGATCACAACAATTTCCATTTGTTAAGGGGAATGAGGATCTGTAGAACGCCATTTACTATGAACAGAACTTTCACTGTTAAGAATTCTAATGTTTAAAAATCAATAAAGCAGAGAAAGTTTTCCTTTCTGGTAGTAAATCACAGGAGGCAGGAACAAGCAAGACATAATAGGAAAAAGAAACGATTTTACATAGCTTGCAAAGAGGACATGATTACATTTACTGCAACGAATATATGCACCAATAGCGTATCATCCCTTCTACTGAATACGATCAACAATACGTGCGTTTCGCTAAAAAGACTGATTAACTTGTCTAGTTTTATATTCAAGAATAATTGTCGTTTTTATATTTCACCGTCATAACTTGAAGTTCACTAATGTCATATTTGAATCATTTTTCTTTAAATCTGTCTGCCAAACTGATTACATTTCTCATTTGCTAAAATTAATGTCAAGCAAACACATATGAAAATTACATTTCTCATTTGCTAAAATTAATGTCAAGCAAACACATATGAAAATAATTGATGTTACCAAGATAAGTTGTTTCTCTGCTTAATCTGTTTAGCCTGCTTTGATCTATGATCCAATTACGAATGTTAATGCGAATTATTTGGAATCTGTGTCTTTTGTTATGCCAAGTTGATAACTAGTTTCCTTTACATTACTTTCAGCGAAGATTTTAATGAAAAAAAAACGACGTCTTTAAATAGGCAACCGAACCAGTAACTTTTGCATATGATTTCACTTTTCTAGAGTGAACAGGAATATAGAAACTTGTCGGAATTGACAGGGGTCTGTTTGGTACACCTACTTTATTTCGTGGAGTTCCATAATCAAGGCGTCAGTTCTGTATCTGTACTAGGCTTTCAAGTGAAATTTTCTGGGGATTATATCTGGGGAGTTGGCTGACGCCCTCATCAATCTATAGGCACGGAAAATGTACATAACCTACAAAATATGGTACACACCTAAAGCAGTTCGAAGTGTAAAATGTTCAGTACACGTAGTTGTCCAAAGCCATTTATCCTGTAATTACGAGTACACATCCAAATTTTGGTAGTCAATATAAATTGATCAATTTATCTATCAACTGTGCTCAGTAACACAGAACATCCCGCTTTCGAACACCAGTATTAGATTAGGGCGCCTCTTCGATAGCACATTCTTGCATACTTAGGAAATACAGTAGATCATAAAACTAAACTAAACAACATGGCTTTTAATCTGCAAGCGAACTATACCTACCGAGCGACCGCCGCTTGTCGGCGAAGTTAGTACCAACTTTTGCGGATAGAGGGTGTTGCGTGGTCAGCGCAACGGATTCCCACGACTGTTAATCTCGGTCTTCTAGACCGGAGCCGCTATTTTTCCGTTCAAGTAACTCCTCAATTATCCTCACGAGGCTGAGATCATACGACCTAAAAGTATTCTTGTTGAGCACGCAATTTTTATGAAATTTAATTCCGTTAACTGTCTTACACATATTCTGTACACGTTTTCTATTCTCCACATGCGAGCTATATGACCAGCCCAATATGATGTCCATACCATCACTCAGTAATACTGGTCTCACTGTATAAATCGTGAACATGATCATTGTGTAATGTTAAGTCGAAATTTCTCTTCCGTCGTTTAATTTAAATCACTTATGCCATTCTTCCAGAGTAAGATGCCATGATTAATTGCTTTCCACAGAACGCAGTAATTAAGTTGTTTATGCCCTTCGTGTTGTGTTGTCTTTCATTTAAATAGGCTGTAAACCGCCAAGCGAATATATCAGTGTAGGCGTAACGTTTTAGACTTGTATTCGTGAATGCTCGTTTCGAATTTCGGCCCGAACATCTGCTGTTCTGAGTGAGGTTGTTCGTGGTCCTCCCTCCAAGAAAATTCCGGGAGAGTATCACGATTAGGACACGACCGCTTCCTTTCAAATCCTTTCCAATTCTTCACTCATCAGTCACCCTACCTTCCGACCCTGTATAGTCTCGATACTGGTAAAGCGCCGTGAAATAACCCACAGAAGGGAAAGTGGCCAATTTGTGCTGGTCTGCTTGGAGCCAGGTCACAATGATGTCCATGGTGCGATTTGTCCTGCGCTGTAGGCAGACACGCACTACATCCATACTCATCTCCAACAATTTGCAGCCCCAATAGACGTTTGTATGTAATGATATGATAGAACGCCTTAAAGTTTACGTGACAGTGAGGAAGGTTAACTTCCCTAAACCTTGGTAATACAAAATTTTACAAGAGGCCTAACTTTAGAAGGCAAGGCCGTACTATATCTCAGGCGGTTAGTCGCCGGTTTCCCACCGCGGCGGTCCGGGTCAGTCTATGTGGGATTTGCTGTGGGCAATATGGCACTGGGGCAGATTTCCTCCGAGTACTTCGGTTTCTCCTGCCAATTCTCATTCCACCAACTAGTCCACACTCATCACCTATCGTCCGGGGGTGGTACAGTAGGCCAAATAGTGGCCGACTCAAGTGGCTGAACAATAAGGACTCAGCTCCATGAGTTAGTTACTTACTTGCCTTTGATGTGTGTTACACTCTTGTGTGATTCAGACATGTAAACGAGCCACGGCAATTTCATCGCTACGTATGTAGTGACTAGGCTAGACGACCCATGTTTCAATTCCCGCTACGTCACCATGGCCAGGTAGGCCGTGACGCCCACCTAGCCTGCTACCAGTGGGTGCTTGGGGCTCTTTCGTCGGGAGTAAAGGCACTGAGAGTTGTGAATCTGTCTGCATACTTCCATTTAGTGCTGAAGATAAGAGCGTGTGGAGCTGCAAGCCTACATGCAGTCTCCCATAAGTCTTCATGACGTGATGCTCATATAAACAAAGGGCAAACCTTGCCTTTCACAGGGCCAGGAAATGCATTACGAAGGTTCTGGTCCGGTTACACCGTCATTTCATTATAAGCTCCATGCGGCTGATGGTTAAGTGGTGGTGAACTAATGCAGTCGTGCTAAAGTTGCTTAATTTTACTACAGTCTGAGCTTCTGTGGCTTATAATGCAGTTTTGCTTTTAACAATATCGTTGTGTGTTTGAATCCCTATTTAGGCGCTAAGTACAAAGTGTATGAGTCCTCGGATGCTGTTTTCTAAAATCTGCTCTATTCGCAGACGAATATTGTAGTGCTCTAGCTAACATTTTGTGTATCAACTAAAACAGTTTGTCTGCAATGTTTTTTATAACATACAAATATTATTCATCTGGCGGTACAGACTAGATCACTTAAACATAGTAATACACGGAAACAAATTTAAATATGTTGTCACGTTTAGGGGTTATGCGTGACTTATAAGACACCGTATTCACACCACTCGGAAGTACAGGCAATACAGCGCTATCGCCTTTTAACGTAGCTATGCCAGAAAATGAGTAGGCCTTCCGAAATGGAACAAGACACATGAAAAGCACTGGGACAGACAAGTTAAAAGAGAGTCCAAACGACCACCTGCAAGACAACATGGGAATTCCCCACATACCACGTGATAACATCTCGACGATAGTGCCACTACACGCAACTTGCAACCCGATTAAATGGGAGATAACGCGTATTAACATACAAGAGTTCATAACATCATAGCCACCTAGGAAGGAACCAGACCAGAGCGACCAGTATACCACCGAAATAACTGTTAGATGGATATATACGTGTATATTTTAATCTTAATTTCGACCTTAATTTAACCTTCAACTAGATATGCATTATTTTAACTAATTATATCTAATAATAACGTAATTGGGCTACAAAGTAGATAATACCAGGTACTATGTTACCAAGCATAATATTACGTTATATGGTGATATTAAAAATATAGATCCATATTAGAAAACAAATTCAGCACCTAGGCACAAACATTACTCCTGATGATGACCCAGTAAGGGTCGAAACATATATTGTTTCTAAGGTTGTAAGATTTTAATGTAAATAGCATATATTTATAATTTTTATAAGAAATTTTTGTGTCGACGGCCTTAAAGTACTCGATGTAAGTTAAAGACCGCCTTCCCTGTGTTTCGTATAGACCTACCATTCTTACATATCCTGTACGGATTGCGCTTGCGCCATGCTGAGTATTCTTATGCTTCGTACAAAACTTTTATACTCGCTTCAAACCTCACCAAGCGAAATTTCATGATTTTCAGCTGTTACCAGAAGAACGCTGATAATCATGGTTGTGCTTCGTGTGGCAGGCGTACTATCACTGTTATATATAAAATATTAAATTAAATTAAATTAAATTGTAAAGGTATTATTATCAAACGTATGTCATCACACAATGTTTCATCGTTAATGCGACGAGAATTTTCCTGAAGAGGTTCTGTACCTAATGCTTAGTAGCAGAGCGGTTCCTCGCTTTGTGCTGCTATCTATTAATGATATGAATTAACGATATGTTTACGATATCGCGCTGCCTCCAATTTCAGCCAATCGTAGCGCTCCTAGGTGGACTCGGTAGGTCTTAGCCAATCAGTGATGCACCGTTTCGAGCGTTTGGAGCAGGCTGGCTTGATTTTCGAAATATGATGTGCGTTCTTATGGAAGTAGATCTCTTGCAAATTAGTTTCATTCTCTCCCGCTTACTTAATGGTCAAATAAGACCTGTAAGCGGCCCCTGCCTTGGACTGAAGAGGGATGAAGTGACGGGAGGCTGGAGAAAACTGCATACTGAGGAGCTTCATAACTTGTACTCTTCTCGAAATATAACTGAAATGATCAAGTCAAGAAGGATGAGGTGGACAGGGAATATAGCACGAATGGGGGAGAAGAGGAATGCATATAGGATATTGGTGGGAAAGCCAGAAGGAAAGAGACCACTGGGAAGACAAAGACGTAGGTGGGTGAATAATATTAAAATGGATCTTAGAGAGATAGGATGGAATGGGATGGTATTGATTTGATTAATCTGGCTCAGGATAGGGACCAGTAGAGGGCTCTTGTGAACACGGTAATGAACCTTAGGGTTCAATAAAATGCTGGAAAATTGTTGAGTAGTTGCAGATTTGGCTTCTCAAGAAGGACTCAGCTCCATGAGAGAGTAAGTAAGAAAGTAAGGAAGCAAGTAAGTAAAAACAATTAGCGTGCAAATTAAGCTGGAAATTATTGAAAAGCACGGAAGGGATATAAAAGAAAGTGCTCTGGCACTGAATATGGCTTGTTCAGATCCACCATTTCCAAATGATGTGCTTCTCTATGCTTTATCCATTCCTTATTTGTCCATATTTCTATTAGTATTGATGCTTCAGTGTGTTCTTAAACGTTCATTTATTAAATTTGCGTGTATATATTTTATGAACTACAATCTTTAGGATGAACATTGCAAGATCGTCTTTGAAATAATCAAAACTTTAACATATATTTCCTGTAGTCGATTAATGATAATTTCAATTAACAAAAGTTTTTATGGAACCATTATATTCGATACACTGGACTCACCCCCTCGATAACGCACAAACTTTAGGTCACGAATAACCGACGAAAGTGGATACCTTTCAGGTATCGAACTCTGAAACCCACAGTCTGCTCACAGGAGCTATCAGATCACAGAAACCTGACCCTTGGTGGTCACTTCCCCGACGTCTGAAGGAGTTGCGCACTGGAACGCGACTGTCGGGTCGAGTTGGGGGCGACGTGGGTCTCAACAGTCGTACTCCTGGGCCCGTCTCGAGTGGTGGTGTGGTGCTGCGTGCAGCCGATCAAGCCCCTTTGCGAGCGCGTGTTCAGTTTTGGGACTAAATTCTATTTCCCATGATTAATGGCATATACCCTGCACCTGAACAGTTTCATTCCACTGTATTTGTTCAAATTTAATTATGTTACATTAGGTAAATATATGGTGACAGAATAGTGTACATGTTTTGACGTTTCGAACCCACACAGAACTCATTTTCAAAACGTCGAGTACCGATACGAGTCGACTGAAGGGGTTAAAAATTGCAGTTTTTAACGTGTGCTTATTAAATATATAACGAATAGCTGGTTTCCCTTCAGTTCTGAAAGTCAATGATAATTCTTAATAATAAAAGGTCGAATATTCAGTTTGCGAGATAAATAAATTGCTGCGTTATCTTTAATGCATGTTAGGAGTAGGATAACAGTCCTTGGCCGTTTTAACAAAGATGTAGGAAACACTACATTATGGAACACTCATTATTTTTATGTAGAGCTTTAATGAGAATGGGTCACTTATTCTGAGGCAGCAGTATACCGGAAAAGAGTGATAAGTATTATCAGTTTTCTTCGGAAAATCGAACATTCAGAAGTTTCATATTATAAACATGATTTCTATTGGTAAACGTGTAATCATGAACGGCTCAAAGAACGTTTTGAGCTCAGATTAATTTGCAGATGGGCCGAATTTAGTTTCCGACTAAATCTCAACATATTTCTTACTCATCCGTTTGCAGTCCTGTGTATTTTTCTGCGTGAAAAGTACTCTTCGTAAATAGTACCCACTCACAAAAATTAATTTCCTGCAGCATCACGGACATAGGCCTAATGGTGAGTATATAAAGTGAAATACATATATTTATTAATATACTTTCGAGATAGTGTATTCTTAGCCTACTTCCCTTATTGTAAAAACATGAAAGTAGGCTTATGATATGATCTCCCCGTCTGCGTGTCTGTATGTCTGTGTATCCCCTTCCTCCCGTAAACTTTTGAATTCCTGAACGAATCTGTATGAAACTGCGTATATTATGACAACTAAAGCAATCTCAACGGTGTATTTCTTAAATCCTTGCCATAAATCTGTAAGTATGTATTGTATTGTATGTATTCCTTAACGTTTCTTGGCAACGGCTCGGTAAAAAACATTACTGCGGCAACAAATACATAAGCAACAATAAACGAAAGTGGCACGCGATAGCGCAGTTGGTTGAGGGGCTATGCTACAAGCCGGAAGGTCGCGGATTCAAGCCCCGATTAGGTCATTGGATTTTTTTCAATTGACCTAATCCTTCCAGCCGCATTATAGCCCTGGGGTTCACTCAGCCTCTAACAGAAATGAGTATCAGGAATTAATTAAATAATTTTCCTGGGGATTAAAGGGCGGCCGCCATCTTTGAGCCGATTGTCTAGATAATGTGAGACCCTCAATGTCTCACAGCCCTATGGGCCTTCACGGCCTGGTATAAGGATAGTTTTACTTTTTTTTTTGTACAATAAAAGAGAACTTGGACGCATCGTTTTCTGTGCTATCCGTGTCGTATCAAAAGAAAGTATGCAATTAGTTCTTCCCAGAAATGTTTGTTTAGCATGTGCTTCAAGCATTAAATCCAGTGAAGTAAATAAGTGTCATTTCATATCACATTCGATACGGAATTTATGAGGAGACAGGCGTTTTAGAAGTTCAGATAGAGCAATTTGACTGGAGCAATGAAGCTTGTGACTTCCGTTCATGAGTGAGGTTCTTCGTGATTCTCCTCTGACCCTCCAGACAGCTACCGGACAGTGCTATAAATAATACCAGGAGTAAAAAGATAAATTTATCTCTTGCAGTGAACTTCGCCGTGTCAAGATGAATCGAATCCCCCCATCATCAGCGATTGAGGACCCTCCATTGCACGGCTTGTCTTGCCGTTACTACGGCCGTTAGTATTATCCGCAGTCACTATATTATATTGGCATTTGTAACGTATTGATACTTTCCAAGTCAGAGTACATCATTCTCAGGTTTAAGAGGCATGTCGGCAATCACAGTGGCTGCGCGGTCTAAGGTATGAAATGTCTTCGCCCGCTTGAACACGGATCATTGGGTTCGAATCCCACTCAAGGCATGAATGTCTGTCCGCTTTTCTTCTATGTTTATATTCTCCTGTATATGTAGCGGCCTTGCGACAGGGCTGATCCCCCGCCAAAGTAGTTCTACCGACTGTCTATAAAGATCCATAGTTCCAGATTAGTTCTGATTGTAACAGACCAAATGGCCTAATACGAAAAGTACAAGAAGAAAGAGAAGAAGAAGAAGAAGGATGGGATAGGTAGTAGAAAACGTAAAGTTGTCCCTGTACTCAACTAAGTAAACACTACCCCATGAAGACGTATGGCGGAGTGGGTGTATAGATCCACGTTTTCTTCGTCTCAGCATTAGTGAAAGGGGAATATAGTACAGAACATTTCTATGTGTGTTATTGTCACGTGCAATAGGGTACGCGTGACGAAAATAACGGGTTGTAGTTCGGATGATTGGCTTTATTAGCACCTTGGTTACAAGTTTTCCTGATCACTTAAATACAGCGCTATCGCTGATTTACACACTTTCCATTTCACCTTTGCGCACACAATAGAATTTTCCGTCTTCACTAGTCGTCTCCTTGCAACGGGCCTCAACACAGAAACTAGCACTTCAAATCACCATGAAATCTTCTTGCCATTTCTTGCTCAGTCACCCTGGAGCCTCGGAACTCAATTACAATTAGTTCTTACACAGTCAAGATCACTGTAACTATTACACATAAAGTCTTCAATGTATGGTAACACATCATAGCTGAATGCTCACAACTCCTTTCCTTGATGGCTTCGTGTCCTAGACTCAAGGCTTCTCAGCTATGACCTTCACTGTTCCGCATAAATCTTCGACACGGACCCCATAGAAGACATCTATTATTGTAGACGTGTTTACAGTTTAGTGCTTAGCACTGGGCATGGTGCGGACCACAGTGAAGACACTTCTGTTGTCAGAATTGTTGCGTAACCTAGTAACGGACTGCTTACCAAGCATCTATCTTCGCGGGAGCTTGTTTACGAACCCGTTTCCTAGCAATGGGTGAACATGTAACAGTACTCTAGAGCACATTCTGTTGAAACTCTGTAACATTGTAGTGAAATCAAGTGCCTCCTCCATACTTTGCTTCGCTTAGCCCGTTTGTGTGACAACTTCGCCTTGACGATACACGCTTACTGATATTAAACGTTTTCATGTATTTTACCAGAAAGTTTCATGTTCGCTAGTTTCAATACTGGTAAAGCAGAAAGTGAGTAGAACATCTGAGATCTTGTAAGCTGTATTGAATGACAGGCGAAAGGGTTAAACGGTCACTGGTGCAATTTTAATTTCCTGCAATTTCCGTATGTTCGATATCTCGAACGATGTATTTACATATAACATTAAATTGCAGCAGCTTGTTGTACTGTTTAGACCTGACTTTCGTGTTTCACTTTTTCCCGTCTATATGCAACTTCGGTTAATATTCTCTCGTCTTCTTCTCTTTATTACATATACAATAAAGATAAGACAAGCGAATACTAACCAAAGTTGCACGCAGACGGCAAGAAGTGGAACACAAAGTCAGTCATACCGTAGTACTTTTAATATCCTCCCTAGTTTATACTATCAAAATGCCCATTCTCCCATAAACCTTTCACTTGCTGACGGCTTGGAATATTTTACAGCTTTTTATGAAACTCAATTTTCATATTTACATTGATTCATAATTCTGTCACCTTATTTTAAGGTAAAGGTATCTCTGTAACAGGCCTTGGAGGCCTATAAGGTTTACAGACGTGGAGACTTCCACATTTTGTAGACAATCGGGTCACAGATGTCGGTGAGTTTGTCAGCCTTACGCGCCGACCGCTCTTTACCCCCCAAGAATATTCCTGGTACTCATTTCTGTTAGAAGCTGAGTCGACCCCAAGGCCATAGTTCGTCAATTGAAAAAATCCAATGACCCCATCGAGAATCGAACCCGCGACCTTCCAGCTTGTAGCGTACTGCCTCAACCAGCAACGCTACTGTTAGCTTTCCCACCTTATTTATATGCCTAATATTATGTTTAATTCGTTTTTAAACACATCATTAAATACGACAAATTCTGTATTAGTGAAGGAACAGTCAACTTAGTTACACTTTGAATAGTACTCACAGGGACCGCCGTCCCCTGGCCCCCAGTTTCCCGCAAGACGGTTGGCGACAGCAGGCTGTAATGACTATATACTAAGTGTTACTAGTGTCAACACACGTCATGCAAACCGGAACACAAAATGGCAATGATCGGCACTAACGGCTTTGCCTTTGATAACGATAATTTACGTATAAGTCAACCAAAATACGGATAATTACATATGGTCGAAATGCGAACCACTCTGTGACGAACGGTACTCCTGCAATTAGCCGCCTTCTTCCAACGGACGTAGGTAAAAACTTGCAGTCGTATCTCAAGCGAAGTAATCACCCCCTCCCACGCGCCATTTTATGTTTATTTAAGCTATTCAATTGAAATTAAATTAGGCCTTGTCAACGAGTCGGGATAACGACTGGCTACGGGCTGAACGACCAGAGGGTCAGAGTTCGATTCCCGGTAAGGTTAAAATTTTCTCTTCTCCACGTCGTCCAGACTGACTTTGGGGTTCACCCATCCTTCTATCCAGTAGGTACGGGAGGCTCTTTCCCCGGTGGTAATGCGGCCGACGCATGGAGCTGACCACTCACCTGCAGCTAGTCCCGAGGTCAAGAAAATGTGGATCTATACATCCACTCCCCCATACGCCTTCATGACGTAGTGCTTAATTATTTAAGCACAGGGGACAAATACCTTTCACCTGTCAACAGGCACACCTTCGTAGCTTGGATACGAAAAGGACAGGCTTCATAGAACATTTCGTAATGTGTTCAAGTATTCAGACCGTACAATTTTAAACAAAACGGGGATTAGTGTATGTCGTTTTTAATAAGCTGTAGAAACTAATTATGTACCTTTATAAAGAGTAGATGAAGTATCTGTGAGTAAGCTCCGCTTGATGAAAACTCATCATCAAAGGAAACCATTTTGAGGAGTAGCTCACTTTCAAGAGAAAATGATTATTTATAATGCCCATCAGTTCTGCAGTGAGGAAAAGAGGAACAAAGGACTTTTCTTCTAGAAGGAGCAGTTGCAAGGGCAGCAAAGGGACAACCAGCTCACAAATGGCGGTGAGGTTGTCGGCCTTGGACTCCGTAAATTAAAAAAAATGAAGGAAATATTTCGACGCCACGTAGAATTATGCCTGGTTTCCACGAGTGTGAATGCATAGAGAATTTTTACAATACTATGAACTGAAAAAAAATAAAATTCTCTTTGCGCTATTTTGTCTCATAAAAATTAAATTAAATTTCATGGAGGAGAACACTGAAATGGGTCGAGACTTTTAAAGACAGACGCTTCTTTTTAATTTAAAGACAATATATAGTTTCCCGCCGTACGATATGCGTGCTAAATCTAAGAATTTTTTTTTAGGAACTTATTTATTAACAATCAGAATTACGTACATTCTATAGGTTAATGGTTTCGCTAAGGACTATTACATGTCATGCGAGGAAAATGTCCATCGACATTACCTCTTCAGAAGTTGATTTGTTTTATATCAGGTCATTTGGCCATTTCCTTTTTAATCTTCTATTGTTGATTGGCTCCCTGAGTGGTTGCAATAGTTCGTTCTCGTGGGTTTCAATTTTGCTCATGTGTTGGCGGCTTCTGTCCAGGATGATTTCTTTCACGAATTTTAATTTCAAGTCTTGA